ATATGGATTTAGATATAATCATTCTTGTGAAACGGCTTTCAATGTTGTATTGTTTGTATCTGAAAAACAACCCAAATTAAAAAAGGCCTATAGTTGCAGTGTTCCTAATTTTACAAGAGCGAAATAATTGATAGAAACAAGTTAATACAGTAGTTAATGCGCAATCGACATAAAATGTAGTAAGTTGGGTTGGTTTAGAAGCTATTTAAGTTTTAAGAGGAATGCCAATCCTGTTTAGGTTGGAAAAAAGATAGTAAGCTTGCAGAATGTTGGCAGACCTGAAATTAATTGTTAAATTTGTTAAATGAAAACTTACTAAAAATAAAAAAAAATTCCGTGACTATTTTCTTATTGAGTGGTTATTTTTGATTAAAAACCGCACATAGATTCTCACGAAGAAATTAACAACCATATTTTCTGCTTGAACCCAAAACATACGCTTCTGCATTCTCTTTTTACCTTTTTCTTGAAACATTTTGCAAAAATTCGAGCCAAGAAGTGACCTACGACTGCACAAAAATGACATTCCAAGCAACTTTTTACGTATTCTTGTAAAAGTACCGTCTATATGGAAGACCCTTCTCTCTATCTTTGATTCAGCTAATTGAAGAGTCAAATTTTTACACCTGGAATTACTTTGAATACCAGCAGATATTGTACCATCGTCAGTTTTGTTGAAAGCGATGTCCTTAATGCAGTAATTAACATTGTTGAAAATTTAAGAATGAATTTGAAAATGAATGAAGCCCTAAAACAGCCATTACTAATTTAAAGTTTTCGAAAAAAAGTCTACAAAAATTCTTAGAAAACATTCATCTTGGTTATAAAACACCTTCAGCATTTTTAAGTGAAATGTGTCAACTATCTTTCGGAAAAGTATCAGATGGTCTGCTGAAATCTTTATGATTTCAACGCTAACCGTCAACGATTAGAGCCGTTTTGCTAGTCAGCTCAGACAGCTTTGACAAAATCGCGGTTATGCAAGACAAGAATCAATTAGATTAGATTGTCCTTCAGATCTCGATGAATTCGAAGGAAATGCTTTGTAATATCCAGGCCCAAATCACTGAGTTGTCCAAACGTATCGATGGAATTAAGTTCCAAGACCGCCTAAGAAATGAAAACATAGTCTGCAGCCGGTGTTTGTCATGCGAACAATTTTGTTGGTATCATTTCAAGTTTGCTATCAAGGCTAGTAAATGTCGAGTACTGTGCAGAAATTAAACGGAAAACAAATACATCCTTCATCCAAGGCAACTAATGAAAGAAAATTTAAAATATGCTGCCATTTTGTACGAGATAATTCTTTAAACGGTAAGTTCCTCATGGATACAGAAATCGATGGCGGCAATTCCGCCATCTTTCTAACAAAAGCACTCTAAACGAAACCAATTCCAGCTTCAACCTGCAAATAATTCAATTTTCAACACTTACGGAGAAAAGGTTTTTCATTTAAACCACAATTTAAGACGATGACTTATATGGAAATTTACAATTACCAGTTCTGACTTTCTAGAAAGTTTTGGATTGCCTGTCGACGTCAAGCTAAAACGCCTCATTGGTACCATACCAAAATTAAGCACACCTTGTTTCATGTCAATCAAGAACGATATTTCTTCTATTAAAAGTTTCTCAGTTCCTCAAAGTTCGATCCATTTTATCCTCTATTATCGGAATTTAAAGGCACTATTCAACCCGATGGTAAATATGCAGTGACTTATCATATCGAAATGAAGGGACCTCCGGTTCATTATAAACCGCGCAGATTACCTCCTGAAAATCATAAAACTATGCAAAGAAAATTCAATTATTTGATGCAATAAAGCATATATCGTCCGTCGACGAGCAGATGGGCAAGTGCTTCACACTTGTTCCAAAATAAATACCCTCCACCACGTTAGCACGATTTTCCAGGTAATTTACATGGCAAGAAGATCTTTTCTAAAATAGATTTGGTGAGAACTTATTCCCAAATACCTGTTAAAAAAGTAAATATACACAAAAGTGCCCTTACCATACCAATAGCACGTTTCAAATTTACAAGAATGATATTTGGTTTGTGTAAGGCCGTAAAAACAATTTAACGTTTTATGCACGAAGCCCTAAAAGGCGTTGAACTTTGGTATGTCCACATTGACGATATTGTATAGGCTTTGAAGAGTATAAAGACCTCCTAAAATGACTCTTTCGTCGATTAAAAAATTCTATCAATCCGAGCCACTTTCAAAAGCGTTTATCCTTGGGTCAAGGCACGTCAGTGTACACATTTTCAAGGTTTGATCGGTTCCGAAAATGATTCTAATTTGGGTCTATCCTAGGCGCTTCCTGGCGTTACATACCTCCTCACAAACATAATACCCACACAACCTTATAACGCAAATGGTGTATGGTATAACAAGAACAATTGTAATAAGCGGTTTTAGCTAAACCTATGGATTAATTTGGTAATTTTCAGAATACACTCTCACTTATAGTGAAACGTAAGTTTTTAACAAATAAGAGCATAATAGTCGGACAAAGTCGACCATTACATACCTTACACTACATTGTCTAACACAATTCTTATTTTTATTCACACAAATATTATATCTTGTTCCCATATAAAAGCAAATTTTTCAAGTGCGTATTTAGGGGGAAGCGGGCCCAAAACGCAACCTAACGTGTCAAAAATAGCCCTAGCCAGTCCAAAGTCTCCATACAAATTTAGAATGCCCAAACACTATTATTTAGTCACTTTTGCCGAGAAGTTTTGAAAATTGCAACCTTTACCCGTATAACGACTTTTCAGAATAGGGCGTTATTTGCGGAGCGGTCGAAAACGTGCATCGATGCGAACCATTTGCAATAGCGACCTTCCTTAAATCAAAACATGTCACTGTACGAAATACCATCGAAATATCTCAAAAATTGCGACCTGTAACTTGAACACTTATTTACAGACAGACTACAGACGGACATACGGACAGCCGGGCAGAAGAGCTTAAATCAATTCAGATTATGATTCTGACTCCAACGGTATTATGAAAGGTGGGTCTATCTACCTTCTGTGTGTTACATACGACCCCACTAACTTAATATACTCCATAGCACAAGTGGCGTAGGGTATAAAAACGAACGGAAAACCTCTGAAAATAGACAAACAGAACACTTTGAAATACTTTTTGGAGCAAGTCCATTAAGAAATGCTTTACGGGGTGTTGGGCTTCTCATCAAAAGCAGATATTTCATTGAAATATTTCAATTCGAATGCATTCAGGATAAAATTTCCTACAAAGCTACAAAGAAAATAATTTATGTAAAGCATATATTATGAAGGTAATCAATAAATAATGCTAATAAATAATACGAACAAAAGTTACTTACGGAAGCGTACAAATGTTGGCAAAATAGTTTTTAAAAGTTTCAAATGGATAATGAGTTGTGTCAAAAGGAAACACTCTCGGAAAATGTTTTCATGTCACTTCACGCTTTCCCAAGAAATTGCTGTTGAATTATTAAGAGTAATGATAACAAATGGACAAAACCACTATGCTGATTAGGTGAACTATTGGTTCATGTAAAAAGACTCCGCGGTTGTTTCCGTTGTTCTAAGCTTCCTTTTGTAGGCTGCCCTTTTCAACTGATTTCAACCTGTCATGTGGCTGATGTTTAATGCCGCTTCTATTCCTGACAGTTTGCGTGCCGGTCATGCGCCCCCAGTTGCAAAGTTTCATCGACCTTTTGGCCAGAGCGAAGTGCATCTTTGACATCGCAATTTCCGTAATGGAAGCGAGCGAGCTACTCCTGGGTACTTCGTTCATTTCAGCATTTTTACCTTCACTAATTAATTTTTTTTTCCAGCGTTTTTACCTTTTTTATATCAACAAAGCATCACATAGCGTATTTCTTCAGATATTTCATTCATTGTCAAATCAACATAACTTCTTACACGAGCAAAGAATTAGAAAACTATCTTCACAAAAAATGCAAGCTTTTAAGCACACATTCGTTTGAGACAATTAGGTGAGTGTTGCCCGATATATAGGCCTTAACACCATCACGCGGAAAAAATCGCGGAGAGTTTTTACATGACCTAACATTAAGATTAACCATAAAACCACCGTTGGTACGATAAACTGAATTATATTAGTAACCATTCAATCTAGCGAAATCATCACCAAGCATTGATTCGAACGACAACTGTCGCAAATAATCGAGAAAACGGTGCAATATATTAAAAATTATGACAATGTGAGTTGTGTAAAATCTATCCGCGAGACGTTAGCAGCACTGAACTATAACTAATGTGGTTTTACCACATTATTTTTGTACTATTGTAAATTCTTTTATCAGCGCAAATGTATGGATATATATGAAGTGTATATTTAAAATAACAGCTGGTTCTACTTCATGCTATAAATAATGAAATGTAAAATTTTAAAATGAACTGTTGTTAATTTCAAAATTATCAAAATTATGGTTACCTCCCCCCTATTTAAAATGATATAGTTTCTACGTTAATTGTACTCAGCCAACTGTATTAGATTTATTAAAAATATAAGAAGAGTTAGTGTTCATATCTGTACAGCCTGCCAGTATTCTTGGAAATATTCCACTACGAAAACAAAGGAAGATGGCGTTTATCTAAATAGTAGACCTTTTCACCTTAACATATTTATAAAGTTTATTTTATTGTCAGCGTAAATCATATCTTTTCTTGTAGTACACATTTTGCTGTAAAGAATTAAACTTCAAGACCTTTTATTATACAATAATATACAATCCATATTTTCTGATCATATTTAAAACTAAACAATGTATTTTTCAGCTGAAAACCATCTAATATTCCGCTGACGTTTACAATTTTACATTAATAAAGAAGAGCAGATAACTGTATCGTTCAGCTTCCAATACGTACACTAATGCAAAAAACAATTTATGTAACAAATTGTACATTGACTTTTTTTACTTATGTTTGATATTATAATATAAATTTTCATTTCAATCTTCATTTTTGTCAGGTCTTCGACCCGTTAACACGATTCTGTGGATCATTCGAAGTCGATACATCACAACTGGGATGGCAAAAGTTTGATATGACCTCAACTGTAAAAGGATGGTATGCTCACCATCAGACTAAAAAACTTCGCTTGCTTATAGACTGTACAGGTTGTGGCAAACTATACACTCTTCAATTATTCGATACATTTTCCAGTAACGTCGATCTAGCTCAACGCCAACAACTTGTCAACGTAAGTGGCAACGACATTTTTGGTGCAAATTGGTCGAACTTGACTCATGCCGAAAATGAGAATCTGAATACTTTCCATTTGAATTCTGGCGGGAAGCGTAATCTAACGATAGTTGAAAAAAGGAAGTATTCATACGATACCAGCCCCTTTAAATCTAATAAGATCGTAAAATATCACAATGAAAATGGAAACAACGAAAATACTGTGTATATAAAAAGCGTCGATATCGACTCGAATAAGGAAAGCGTGAATCCGAACCGACCATTTTTGGTGTTACATACGGAAACCAAACGCCAGCGTCGAATACGGCGCCGTGCTATTAACTGTAATGGAGCTTTGCATGGACAGTGTTGCAAGGAGTCTTTTTATGTATCTTTCAAGGCTCTCGGTTGGGATGACTGGATAATTGCGCCACGAGGTTATTTCGCAAACTATTGTCGTGGAGACTGCACTGGACCCTACCGCACACCGGATACGTTTCAAACGTTTCATGCCCACTTTATCGAAGAATACCGTAAAATGGGTCTCTTAAACGGCATGCAACCTTGTTGTGCACCGATTAAATTCTCTAGTATGTCACTGATTTACTATGGTGACGAGGGTATAATTAAGCGCGATCTGCCAAAAATGGTGGTGGACGAATGTGGGTGTCCATGATACAGGTACTACAGTTCGAATCTTAACGACAGTTGCAAGTATAAAAAATTCGCTTCTTGTGTGTAAATTAATGTATATACAAAAAAATGAACTATGTAAACCTAATATCCGTTTAATTTTATTTATTTTATTCAATTATTATCGAGGAAACTCTTATTGCAAATAAAATCGTTTCTCAAATAGTTTTCGTTAAATAAATTAAAATTTCGATAAATCTTAGGATTTAACTTTCTTATTTGCCACAAAATGAGTGGACTTCACTACACATTTGTGTTGCGAATGAATACCATAAATCGGCATACAACTACATTTACTGACCATTTCTGTTTTGAAGAGTGTGTCAGCAATTGAATTCGCTACTTGGTTGAGCACTTTGATATGGTCTGGAGGTTTCAATTCCTCAAAGTTTTGCATATCAAATATCCAGCCGCCTTTATTTAGAACAAAATCAATGCTCTTGCTGCTTTCATATTGTAATTTTTGGCGTTTTTTCGCGTCTTTGCCATCAAGGGTGGCAACCAAGCGAGAATTGAAACCTGCAAGTAATAAGAGCAAACAAAAGTAATTTTATGTCATTATTAACTAGTTAAACACCTATCTTTACTTTGCAATTTCAGTTGGATTAAGCTGAGTTAGATAAGCTTTTTTTAACTTAAATGTCCTTCAACGTTTAATTTATGTCTAAGGAAGTTAAGGTTATTGTCACGAAACGTTTGTTTCCCAAGTTAGATTAGTTTAACAATATCGAATAATATGAACTCTTTCAATTTGAATGTTATGTTTAGTCTTACATCATATTCACCATGGATTGCAAAAGTTTGATTAGATGATGTCGAATATCACTGAAAGCATATCATATCGACAATTATATTTTTGCAAATACACAAAACTCGTTGATCAAGACTTAGTAAAAAAGAAACGTTCAGAAACGCAAGTTAATGCCCTGCGATTGCTTTTCACTTACCTATCAATTTTTCGGCTTCCACCCCTTCCAAAGACATGCCTTTTACAGGTGTTATAACATGAAGTAGAGCTCCATTGAAATCAGTCGCAAGGTTGCTTAAATGAGCTCGAAGAACCGTCAAAAAATTATCATACGGCAATTCGTTGCCGTATACGGCAACAATGGTTTTTGCCGCTCCAGGCCGAAATGGATAGTCCAAAGCTAAATTGAAGGCCACCTCATCTGACTTAGGTACAAGATTCTTAAGAAATTTCTCTAACATTTCCAGAATGTATGTTGTTTTATCGGTAGTCAAGGCTGTTTCGGAAATGTTAAAGTCCGAAAATAGTGGTTTGGGTCCTTTGATTTTTTTTTTGTCGTTAGCTAAATTACCGTGATAATTAAGCTTTCCCTGATCGCTAGTAAGAATGGCAGGATATCGTTGACCACTGCTAAAGGCAATTACAACGATTTGAACATCAGTAAAGCCACGAACCTTTAAGGCTTTACGAATCTCAGGGATGACGGGTGCGATGAGATTTGTCATTTGCTTATCCGAGACATCCACATCAACCACAAAAACTATATCCGCACTACTTTCTGGAGTCTTCACAATAAAATCTTCAAACAAGTCACGTTGACCAGGAGCACCCCCACATTTAAGGCACCGCTGTGGTAAGAATATGAAGGTGTGGTCCAATTGTTTTTTGATAACCGAGGCATAAGTCAATGCAATATTACAGGCGGCCGTCTCCTTATCTTTGTCAGGTACTGATGCGACAGCTTGGTCGCAAGCTGCTTTAAACAAAATGGGATCTTTAATCAAATAACCGATTGCTAGAGGAGATTTGTAGCCAAAGTGGTGATTACATATATCCGTATGTGACATATTATTAACGTTTACTGTAAGACTCGCAACATTACATTTACCTAACCCGTAACCATGCACAAAATTGATTGTATTTCTGGCTATAGTACCATCCATTTGTGTGAAATCATCAAAAGGCTCTGCATTGCCATTGCCTAAAAGTCCGCGTAGTTTGCTCTTATAAAAACCATTTACGTCGATATGGCATACCTTTAGATGAGCTGTGCACATAACAGAGACCCCGTACTCAGAGTGCAAGTAAATTGTGTAATGCAACCGCCAAGCATGCATACCGTTTTCATGCAGGGGAAATTCGACAGGATTTCCATTGAATTTTAAGACGCCGGCATCATTTAATTCCAAAAATTGACCTTCCCTATCCGTTAGATAAAGCGACTTCAATTTATTATTAACTTGCGCGATAACGCTAAAATTGTTATTCAAAGAATCTTGACTTAAAATATATTTGCAATTGCCATTAAGGTTTACGTAAACACCATCAAAGGTGAACAGATGACGTCCCTCCGTCAAATGACCACTCAAATGGAAGCCTTCGAAGAAGATAACAGATCGCCAAAAATCACGCGATAGTAGATACTCAAAATTTTCGTTGAATATAAAGTTTAGTACACTAACGCGGAATGTTAAAAGATTTGGCAAATCGTCAAATATATTGAAAGAGGAAGGATAGGTGAAAAATATGTTATCCCATGGGAGTTTACTAGTGCTTATAGTAAATGCATCGACTACCAAAGAAGAACGTAACGTCTTTAGGAGCAAATGCAGAAACTCTTCAGCATATGATTTGTCATCCACCGGGTGATTTGTAAGCTTGGCAGATGTATATTCTTGCAATTTTCTCAGTAAATCTAGGATATCCGCATTTAAGGGTAACAAACTGAGTTCTTCCAAAATACAATTCAAAAATTTGAAGATCTTCTCTTCAAAGCGAAGTTTTTTAAACATACGTTTAAGTTCTAGCTGCAAATCTTTAATAATGGTTAAGTGTTCTTGCAAGTTTTTAGGCAAATCATCTAATATATCCAATGAAAATTTATACAATTCTTCAGCGGCTTCGTAGGAAGGTTTTAACAATTCTGCCACCACTTTACCGTATTCCTTAACCATTGGCTCATATTCACTGAAGACTTTAAAAAAGATATCGAATGAATTCATTACTACGTCAGCAAAAGTATTAAAAATTAGTTTAAAAATTATGAGGACATCCTCGGTGGTATTTTGGATTGCCGGTACTATAACGTCATGGAACATTTCCTTGAATTTGGACCGCATATACTGAACGGTTTTAGTCGTCTTTTCACTTATTTCGTGAAGTAGTTTGCGCGATTCCTCGACAAATTTCAAAAGCTTTCCCTCAAATTCGTGGCTGAAATGGTACACAAACATAAAAATTAAAGAAACATATCGTATAAAGAATAATGGTTTTGCTTACTATATTTCTAAGAGCTGTTTCAGCGCTGAATCGTGCTCTACTTCTTTGAGAATTTCATCGATATTTGGCCTCAGTTCCTTAAAATCGATTACATTAGCACGAATTTTGTTAATTAAGTCTTGCTCACTCGTTATATATGATGTGTCGTAACGCTCCTTCATTTTAAGTAAAACCATGCTGCTTTCCTCCTTATATTTGTGTTGTAATCCTTCTACGAATTCCTCTATATCCCTTTTGTTGCAAATAAAAGTTGAATCTAGGAAATTGCTGGGGTTTAGATTAACAGTGACGCTAATCAATTCCTTACCGGCCTCGTTGGCTTTTAGTTTTAATTCTTTACCCATAGCTAATAACACATCTAGATGAAGGAATTCCGCTCTTTCCACATTCAGTTTGGCCAATCCAAACTGCAATTCACTTGTCATTTCTATAGCTTTTGTACCCAATACTTGCAGCTTACCGTGGATTTTAGTTGAAGGTTTTATCTGCTTAACGCTAATAATTAATTTTAACAATTCTTCATTTAACCCATAGGCCAATATTTCAATTTTAGTGGGAGATCCCAAAAATAAAATGGTAGATTTAACACCACCAGCTACATTAATTAGTTCACCTCCTATGCTTAGTTCTTTATTTTCCACATTGAATGCCGCATGACCAGCTGATTGGTATTGGATATCAAAGCCATCAGAACTCAACGTTTGCTGAGCTGTTATGTTAAAACCATTTGGTAGTGCAATATTTTCCAAGCGACTGCTTATGATAACTTGATATTCCGGTAGTTTGAATACATCAAAAACTATGTTAAGATCAACTAACTCTTTATTACGATCAGCTTCCAATGTAGTGGAAATTGAACATGGCTGAATTGCAGGGTGCTCGAATTTAAGCAAACTTTTTAAGTTTAAAGAAACCCAATCAGAGCCACTAATGTCTGCCTGAGCCAAAAGCCGAATAACTTCATTGGGTTTTTTGCTTTTGTTCGTATATAAGGATAAAGAGCTTTTGTAATGTCCCATAAGCTGGCCCGCTTGTGGATATTGTTGATGCATTTCTAATAACATCTCCCGTGTAGGAAGTTTAAGTTGTACTTTGCCGTTAGAGGGTTGTAAAGTAATAAGTAGTTGATAATTCAGGTTGCTATTAAACATTACCTTCATGTCCAAAATGTAACGAAATTTGAAGCCATCGCGAGTATTTTTTGACTGTAATTCTAGTTCATAAGGAAAACCAAGCTCACGTAAGTCCAATAAAATTAAAAGTGATTGAATGTTTGAGTTTTCTGACACCATATCATTTGATGCCAACAATTGAGCATTGGTACATTGTTTTTTTTCTTCGCAAATAGATAATTTAAGAATTAAATCTTTGTTGGTCATTTTAACTGTCGACACGCCATGCGCACCGCCTACATTCCCGCTAAAAGTGTATGCAAAGCCTATTTCTTTATCGGTAGCTAATTCGTAGACTTCACTTATCAGCTTAAAATTTCCAGTCTTTGTTGCTCCCCTATGTTCAATTTGTCCCTGACCCTCATATATGTATTTATGGTTTTCTTTAGAAATTGCATAGGAAATTGCTCCTTTAAACACAGTATTCTGAGTGTGCTTCAATTCTATGTTTAAGACTTTGTTTTCTGTGCGTAACATAAGATCGTAGTTGTTTAACTGCAATCTAGCTGAACTCCACCTGGCTACTAGATAAAAATCATCGGAGTTATTGTATGAAGCTTCACTATTTAACTTAAAGTCTAAATTTAAAAAATTTTGTATGTCCATTTGTAATTTAAATTTATGAGAGTCCACAATTTCATGAATGACTACCACTAAAATGGGATTTGCGTTGGGTAACGTAATTTTCATATCGAATCCTCTTTTTGGTTTTCCACCGAATAGCTCTAAGTCTACTGCGTAAGGCTCCTCATTATGTTTTACTTCAACACCCCAGTGGTAACCGCTAACAATATTTATGTTAATTTCGAGACTTTTCATTGCGTCAAAACTTGTGTCTAAAAAGTAGCTGTGTTTGATAATCTCACTTTTGCTAGACTTGTATTTGCTAGTAATCTTGCCGAACTGACTACCATAGTTAAGCGACAGTAAAACTTCGCCATCCGTACTACCCTCATCGGAAACGGTGGCATGTTCACTTTTAGCCTCTATTTTCAAAGGTTCCATGCGATTCGAAGCTATTTCAAATAACAACAACGCATTCGCGCTTTTATTAGTCAATATTTTTGAGGCAGTGTTAAATCTCAAGAAATCACCAGAGCCAAGTTTTTCATCGAGAGTCAATTCGAAAAAAGTTTGTTGTTTGTTATTTTGATACTGGCCCTTACTAGAAAGATCAAATGTTTTCCATGTGCTGTTTGATTTTTGCACTTGCATCTGGATTGCATATGTGGCAGGTTTATCCAACTCGCTTACGTGATAATTGCAGCTACAGTGGGTTTGAATTTCCGATCCATATTTAAAGTCCCATTTAAGCACGGCATGTGCAGGGGAAAACTCATCTACGATAAAACTTGCTGTAATTGGTGATTCTGTTAAATCTCCGGATACTTTGGTCGAAAAGTGAATTGCTGCATTTGATTTTTGTTTGGCCAAGTTCTTGGTTTGCGCAATAATTTGCAGTTTTTGGTTGAGCAAATTCGTGTACAAAATTTCAAAGTTCATCAAAAATTCCTTCTTTTTAATATCAACTTTGTCCACCTTACCCATCAGTATTAGAGATTGCTTTGGTCCATTACTTGATAAATTATCACTTAAATTAATTTCGGCAATACCATGTGTTAAACCTGTTTTGATATTAGTAGTCATCTTTTGTTTAAACGTCCCGTCCAATATACGCCCTTCGGAGGAGGTAAACACAAAATTAGCGTCTATATCGCCGTCCACGTAACTGGATCCTTTGATAACTGTATTAGCATCGAAAGACGTTTGTTTTCCTCCTGACTGCATGATGTTCTTCGTTCGATATATCTGAGCAGTTCTGTCTAGCACATTATCACTTTTCACGAAAAGTTTTCTTTCTTTATCACATACCAGCAAAACTTCAACATCATACTTAGGATTTTGTAAATGGAAATTAGAGTTCACTTCCACTTGTTTTTTATGCTTAGGTGACTCAATTACAGCCACTAATTCTCCTTTACCGATTTTGCTTACCTTGAAATCAACTTTTACGTCCAGAAAATCGTGTGCAAGCAGATTAAACTCGGCAGCGGTAAGCTTCTCTTCCGAGATTGTTTTCTCAAAATTCAACTTTACAACCTCTTCTTTATTTTTAAGAAAATTAAAGTCAACAATGGTTTTATCTTCCGCGCCGTTTATTTTCAAATTCCATTTAGACTGTGAATCTTTATTACTAAATCTAGTTGTGCCTTGCAAATCAACAACCACATCGGAATCCGCCAAAAAAATTAGCTTAAGTGATTGATTTATTTTGCCTTTAAGGGTTATAAGCGTCCCCGAACTTGTTGAAAGTGAATTATCCCAATTGTATTGATTGCCGGTTACGTCACATACCGCCGTCAGATCTACAAAATTATCATTTAATTTCCCATAAATACTTAAGGAATAGTCATTTTTTGCACGTTGATGTGCGGCAAACTTAACGCTTAGCGATCCATTTTTTTTTTTTTTCTGTCCTTGTATGTTCATATCGGCAACTATTTCAAATTTGTTTTCGCCTTCTGTTAGACCAGAGAGCTTTAAGAAAATCAGATTTTTTTCAGAACATTTTAGGCTTACTGAGTTGGCAAACTTGCTAGAAGAAATGCTTGGATTGTCGCCTTGTTTAATATATTCCAGTTCGTTGTTCGCTGCGAATTCATATTTCGCATAGTTAGCTAATATGCTTATATTAACGAGCTGATCAATTACTCGTATGCTGGTTGAGGCTCCATATATGTGATCTGGTGAGTTTTCGTCACTAATGAAGAAGCCAGCACTATAAACCTCGCTAACTTCGAAATTACCCTCCACGGTATAAGTGCTATCCTTAGGTATTTTTACGAACAGCTGAGTATTTAATGATGTTTTACCTATATTCGCCCAACCATTAATTATCATGCCCTCATTTTCTTTGTCCATAACTTGCAGATTATTAAAGTTATATTTCTTAGTAGCTCCCTCTCCGTCACCAGAAGCTACAATCACTCTGCCATCTACTTTATAGCCATTCAGTTCATCAGAGAAGCCACCGTTTAGCTTTCGTATTTCAATAACAGGACGATATTCGTTACCACTTTTCATAAATCCCACCTTGCTTTTTTTTATGTCTTTGCCCTTTTCGTGTTGTACGTAAATAACTAACTCATGGTTATTGTTGCTCACACCGGCTTCCAACCCGTAATGTTGTTTCATGTTTTCTATGCAAACGCGGCCATAAAAACGAGACTTTGTCCCAATTTCAACCGTTAAGGAAGTATCATGTGCTCCTTCGGGTGTGCTATAATCTAATTTCCATTGTTCCACATTGACTTCTGCATTGTTGCGGTACCCTTTAATATTAAATTTCTTTACACTCGTGACGTGGAAGCTGAATATGAACTCCGATGGTAAAGTTGCATCGTCTTCCGGTTTTAAACTACCCAACCTGCTAACACAGGGCTTAATACCTATAAGCAAACAATAAATAAAATAAATACGCATAAAACACAACTTGGATAACAACATATATAGAAAATCCTTCCGTTGCACACAAAGGAGTCGCAATTAGTCACTTGAATCCTTAGATTGGAGGATACAAGTCAGCCCCAATTACGGCCCACAATCTCAAGCCAAAGATATTGGCTGCTCAAATTTCTTAATTTTCTTTTGTTCACATTCTCAAATTTTATGTATTTTGTCGAACCATAACCAAGAAAATTTAAAAAAAATTACCTAAACTTTCCAATTGATTATAGCAGCGTTCCATTTGAATTCCATTTGGATCCTTGTTATCTCTATTTAAAATAAGTCTTTTGTCAATGGGTTTATCATTTTCCTGTATATAAAACGAATGTGTAACTTTAATGTTGATGAATTCTATTTTATCGCGTGGCATTTCAAACTCCATGTTGATACCAGCACCTTCGTGGATAAATGCAAGTTCAATTGCATTTCCAGTGGCTGAATGCATATTAACTGAGGTGCTAACTCCAGTGGAAAGTACGTAGGCGTTAAAACCTAAGCCCACCATCAAATTAACATCTATACTCGGTTCAATTTTACATTTATATTTTTTATTGAGATAAGCACCCTGAACAAACATTGAGTCGATGTCCACAGCAATGGCGAAGTTCACTTTACTGGCTGCAAACCCTTGGAGAGATAGTTCCAACGGCACGCCTAGTGCCGTAGGGTAATTAAAAGTTGTGTCCATAAATAAATCATGATTAATGAATTCTTTCCCGTAACTTCCCAATTCGTTTTTAATTTTATCAATTGCGAACGAAATTTGTTTGTAAATATCTTCAAACGAGTTAGGTAGATCGTCGCCCAAACTCAAGAACATCATTTCGGAGCCAAATAATTTTAAAGAAATATCTAAATTAACATCACTGGAAAATTTGCTACCGTAGGTTTTATATCTCTTCGCTGCTTTTGCTGCTTCATCAACAATTGAACGTCTTTTACGTGCGGCCGGATGAGTGTATTCGTCTAATTTTAGCATGCTGTTACGATTTTCGTTTATTACACCCTTTGGACCCATCAGAAATTGCAAAATATTTTCGATATTTTCCATGCGAAGAGTAGTTTCAAAAACATTCAAATCGAAGCCAAAAATTTTTGTTTTGATATCGAGAGCGGAAGAACGCGGTAAGAAGCCAGTTTGGGAATAAATTAATTTATAATTAACACTAGATCCTAAGAGGTTTTCTGAAAATTCTCCATGGTAGCTATAACGTCTGAGGTCTATAGGAAACTTTTTAGTAATGCGTATGTTTGCAAAATGTTCACGTTGCACGGACCGCGATTCATCTGCCGAATCTCGTATAAGCTTCAAGGTTGACGTGATAAAACCACCGACTTGATGCACAGGTTCACTGTTAACGATGGTTGTTAATTCATTGGCTGCTTCTCCAGAAGGGCATTTTATTACCGCTAAAAAAGCCTTAATACGTATTTCGGAATCCTCATTGTGGTCTGATAGCAATTCCATCGCTTTTTTTTGTAAACTAATATCACAGTCCGCTGACGAGAATGCTTGAAGGGCAGCAATTCGTATACGATTAGAACGGCCTTCACTAACGCATTCGAGTAACGATGAGTTAACCATTTTCGCCAAGTGCTTGGCATTTTCGATGCCTTTCAATAAGAACAATAAGCGGTTTTCTTCATTTCTTGTGTTCGCCTTGCAATGGGTTTTTTTTAATACATCCGAGATTTTCTTGAAGATCATATCAATTTCTCCTTGATGGCAGCTGTTGCGTGTGCAAAAATTTGACACCATCATTCCGAGAGCAAGGTACGTTTCCTTGGGTGCGTTTGGATTTATTAGGTTCTAAAAAAGAAAAAAAGCGCAGACACGCAGAAGGTAAAAATAAAATAAAGATTTTACGTGTTTACGTATTATACATATTTAGGAATTACACAATCTTAAATATGGGCTACTCAAAGTAAATAAATTAATTTGTAATTGTTTAATTGTCGCTGACCGTTTACATAACTGGGTGTTAAATTTTAAGTATGAACTGATAAGAATAATTTGCACCCTCGATTTCTTTATTCAGACGTTTTCCATCTTGAGTTGCAACTTTTTGCGCTCGTTCTCAAATTAAGTCTGTAGAACTGAACCATGAAAATAAGTACCGACTTTGGAGTTCTTATATCATTTTTCGAGAAATTCAGAACTAAAGCTACAGACAGATGTACGAGTCAAACTAACATCCTTATCAAGAATATATTTTCTTAGAAGTAGCAAGGGGTTTGTCCAAATAGTAGAAGGATAGGTTACAAACTGTATATCTAATTATACATAATTATCGTACCGCTGCCAAATTCAGTGTATCTCTATCTACAATTTCAACCGACTTCAATGCTTCCATTGCAATTGTCTTTTCTTTCTCGGTCATTTTATTGAATTGCTTTATTATAGCTCGCGCCGATTCTGAAGTACCAGTGCGAAATAAAGCATCTAGGTACACACGTCGAGCCAAATCCTGCTTTTGGTGAGGAAAAGCACTCAGTTCCATCAGGACATCCGTATCCGATGCACGCATTAATCGTATTAACTCAACAAAACCGTTGGCACTCCCAAGTTTTACGTGATCTTCTACGTGTTCCATAAGTTCTCCAAAAATAGCTTTAACGGCTGCGGTATTTTTTGCAGTATACGTTTCAGGTTCTTGGAAGATAATTGACGCGGAACGTGAGCCATAGACTGGAGCTGTCGATGGTGAACCAGTCAAACTTTTAACTCTCATGCCGGTTTTAACTTTAGCATATACAGTTAGTCCTGTCTTCCCAACGACTTTTTTGCCGAAAGTATATTCTTCAGTTACTTCAATTGAGCTGATAATCCCATTCTCAATTTTTGACTCCTTGGCAAAGCTCGCATCTAGAAGAGCGTTGGTATTTACGCTAGACCCTGATTTAATGTTGACAATATTACGTAAAAAGCTACTCTTAACGACTTGTCTATAAACGCAGCTATTCAAGTTTCGTGATTTGTTCACAATTTTAATTGAGCCAACCTGCGCCACCGAACTACGCGTGGGGCATTCTCCAAAAACATCAATTTCGTATTTAGCGTCCGGATTTGATTGAAACATACTAATAATGGCCCTTTTAATGTTCAGAGAATATGAATTTTCTCCAGCATCAGCAACGCATAATTCTGCATTCAGTTTGCCGTTCACCATAGTAAAATGAACAGGTTTTTGTATGTTTTGCATAATTTTTTTTTGAATTGCTTCTGCGGCCGAAACTTTGAAAGATCCTATTTGTAGTGTATAGCCACAATTATGCTCAACGAAAATCTTCGCCACACCAGAAATCCTCATACTCGTGTCGTCATTTTGGGAGTTGTCGCTTGTCTTAATTCCAACAGCCATAGCACTGTCAAAGACGTATTCGTATACATGACCATCTCGATATTTAAAAAGATTTTCATCTTCTGTACAGCTGTTGTTACAGTTTGACTCTGAAAATGGTTAAGTAGAAATATAAAAAAGGAGGTAAATAAATATGTAATGCGATGATTTCAATAACGATAAAGTAAGGTGATAATTAAATTTGATTAGCGTACAAAACACAACAATGATGAAACCGATGTGCCTCCAAAACAGTTGTCAGCGATTGATAGTCTAGAACTTATTCTTCGTCTTATGTTAAATTTTGATTATTCTTTATCCAAGGTACGTAATTAAAAGCTACAGTCCGTTATTAATTGCGGTATGGTCAATGGCTAATGAAAGTTGTTTTCTACGGCATTTTCAGATATATATTTGTATCAAATTGTAGATCAATATCTTTTTAAAGGAAAGTATTTTTATTGACTTTCAACTTACAGCTTGTTATCCTTTTTTAATTTTGGTTCACAGAAATCAAGTAAGAATTCGTATGTGTAACTGGTGCGATTTTGGTAACTAGGATAATAAGCAGAGAAAGAGACGAATACCAAAGTTTCAACCTCAATGAAGTCTGCGATAATTATCGCCGCGATTGTGCATTTATTTATAAGAAGGAATTTAATGGCATAGAGCAATTCATTATTACATCAATGTCAGTGTTCACTTTATTAATTCACTGCAAAAGTCTTTTAGAAATTTAATTATCGGAAAAGGCAGTGTTCGACGATCGAAATAAGCTATTAGTGCAGATAATACGCATATAAAGTAATTAGTGCACGCATAGTGTGCGAGACTGAAAAAGAGATTTAGGGTTAGATTACTAATTTCTCATGTGTTTATCTCACAATTACATTGGAACTTTTTGCAAACTTTGAACTTTTAACAATTATTTTTTGTATAGTTTGCGTTATAATACATCTGTCATTGTTGTCAACACATTTGTACTATATAATATATTCAATCCATTATATGCTAATTGAAAATAATTTAATCATATCTGTAGGCAACTGGAATTGAAAAGTAAGGAAAATTGGTATATAAATATCTATGAATGGTAACGTATATATTTTAAAAAAAGCATATATATCTATCTTAGACTTATTCGGGTCTCTAAGGTAAATATTACATCCTTTTGTATAAAAACGTTGCAAGCCAGTGTTAAAAAACTCTTGTACCATTCAATCACAGATGCATCGAAACATAAAACCAGGAATTTAAATATTTTCGTTACTGTTATCATACTTTCTTCCTGATTGCCCCAATGTAATTTTCACCTTTTAGGAAATCAAAGCAGTTGATAACAATTTAAGAATTTCTACTGATGTTTCCAGATAATAATCTGTAATATATTATATATGAGCTAAAAACCTAGTGATATCAAATCATAATAATGGGGCCATATATGCACATTCTGATGTTTTTTTCCAAATGATTTACACCTGTAAAATGCTCGTAGAACTTAAAAATGCGTAACAGTACTTAAAAAATTCTGTTTTCGTTACAAATCCGAAAAACAAACCCATAGATACGCATAAAGCAGTTAATATTCACTTTTTTTAATTGCAATAAAATTTTATTGAAATTTATCGAGTTGGTTTAAAACTAAGATATAAGGTTCGAAACTCAAGAGCCTAAGGGTGCGCTCACATTATTATAATTCACAATAAATTTATAAAATGGTATCTACGCACTCTGTGTAGGATTAGTTCCATGCCCACCCGGATGCTATTATATTAGAATGATTCTTCCGTATATAACACTCAGAAATAACATACGTAAAACCTAGGAAGAGAATATAATATGATATTCTTGACCAGCATAAGATTTTGCATCTATTTACTCTTACCGGCCTGCCTATTTGCGTGTTTGCCCACCACCTGTAGTTGTAATCGCCGATACGTAATAAAAAAAATAGAGGCTGGATGGCAAATAAAGATAGAACCTGGGCTTTCTCCAGGAATGACAAATTGCGATTTGCAATCAATAATAGTCTTTAATCTAAAATTTCCGCAAATATTTCTAAAGTTCATTTAAAACGTCGTTGCAAGAACAGGCCGATACATTTGCAAACGCAACCGCAATCGGCAAAAGCTATAATTTGCCTTTCCCCTAACATATTAAGGGTACGTTCAAAGACGAACACAACTGTCTTATTTTTATTTGAAATAACTTATCTAAACTATCTAACTTTGAATGGAACCTCTTAATTCGAAAGAGTTCCAATTAGAACTGAGAACATTTTCTTAAGACGATTTTTAACTACTTTGAAGTACTTACCTGCTTTTATTACTTTACTTAAACTAAATAGACATATAAGAATATATAAAACAACAGCTGTTGACGCCATCACAACAGCTTTACGAGCACTCGTTTAAATTTTGCCAGATTTCCTTTAATAAAACAACACTTTGCGAGCAACCTTTTAGTAACGTGTTATTATACACTATCTTTTTTGCCCATTGAGTTTTTTGGTTTAAGTAAGCAAGAAAAACATGCAAACGTACTCGATGAACGCAATCTAAACTCTAAGTCGACTTTTTGAAAATGTCGCCACCTTTTATAGACTAACATTCTCGGAAAAGGCAATAAATGTTCGAGTAACAATGACAAATCTGTAAAAGCTTATTTTCTTTTCGTATTGAGAACGGAGCCACTAAATGATGTTTTCAATCTCATTTTTAATATCGCTCTTTCTTCTTTTTTCTCTACTTATTCCTTGTTTCGCATATAAAGACTACCAGTCTTGGAAAAAACATACGTGCAAACAAAAATTATGGTTTAGGTACTTTTTGTATATGAATAACATTATTTTTCTTCCAAGTTCTATTTTCTCATGCATTGTGCTTACACCCGCTGACGAAGAATTGCAGCTTAATGAATGCGTTATCTCTTGTATCAAGTAAATAAGAAAGCGTATATATATGTAATTAACTTGACGAGTTAATTAAAATATTTCATTTCCTTCTCACAAGTTTGAGTATTTACTATCAAATTTTTCGAGAGAGGATGCCTCGGACACCTATAATAAAATTCCAAATAACTTAGTGGAAATATTTATATAGCTCATGTATATACGTATAGTGTATTGACTCAGCCATTAATGCTTCTATAGTTCTTAAAACAACAGCAATTTTTATAGAGTAAATTTTATGTGATCAGTACTTGGAAAAGCGAATATACCGCCCCTATTCTTATATTTCATTTATTACGGTAAATAGTTAGCTCACAAGGCAATTCACAATTATTGTTTCTTCAAAGTCTGTCTTGAGATAAGGTATCCATCCTGAGCTTATCAGATGTACTGTGAATATCTTTGGTTATTCGGTTTGTGAGAAGCCGTAAGTAATGAATTTTTGATCACGAATTCATTTAGCCATGTCTTAAGGACCCCAATATGGAGGGGAATAGCTTAGCCTTGCATAAAAGTTAACATATTTTATATAATTTTTATTATTATTATTATTACACTATCAGAGCGGATATTATGCAAAGGGCCTCACGTAAACGTAGTCATAGATGATCTGACAATACGAGTTTATTGGTTCTCCCTATAGTCTGTAAAAGGGCCTCTTCCTATAAACCAATATATTTTACTCTTACAGCGTTATGAGAAGAAGTTAAATTAAATTAAATAATAAGATTTAATTAGTATCAATTGGTCATTGAAAAACAAAATGAATACCATGTAAGCTTTGTAAGACAATCTCTTTCTGTTATTTTGTTTTATTGTGCTATGCTTTCAGGATTTCAATCAAGAGTTACGATTTTTAGAACACGGCTTCCAAACTTCAAACCACCTCCTCTAAGTTTCACAATTAACGACTCCCGTTTTTCAATTACTGAGCTGTAATTTTAGATTGACGGACTCTGATTTCAAACGTGGAGAACCATTCGAAAGTACCTTTCGTGTGGATTGGATGTTTTCATCGCGTTTTCCTAAAAAGTTTCTTGACAGTATCCAGTGGTGTAAAAATGGGCTGTTGATAGTGGGTTAAGAAATAACTGTTATATATTAAGCTATTCACTTAATATAAAAAATATTACAATTAGAAAATAAGAACAATTTTCTCCAGTTTTCATTAAAGAATGTGGTCCAGTTGTGGTATTAAAAATAGAAAATTTTTCCAGAAAACTTTGAATTTGTTAACTTCCTACATTTACAAATATATTCTGCGTTTTTAAACTAATTTCCACTCAAGGTAAATGAAATTCGATAGAAACAAATGATTTCAGCAGAAAAAAGTACAGTTCATAGATTTGAAGAATTCAGTTCAACAACCATATGACAGGAATTGGTGATACACAGACAAACACTTCGAAATTCGCATGAACATTTTATCAAGTAAGACTTTCATATATGCAAATGTTCATAAACCTTTAATCTTTCACAAATATGTTTTGGTCAGATGATTACCTAAAAACAATTTTTTTTTTTTTATTTTCTTAATTTTTTACATCAGGGTATTTATTTATTGCTATAGTAGGTCTATTCGGTCTTACGCAACACTCATCCATAAGAATTATAATCAGTGAGACATGTCATATTTATTTAGAATCAACTAAAGTAGTACTTATTATTACTGATGATGAGACTATGCGCATATCGTACAAAAATATTTGTGTTCCATCTCTAGAAAAAGTGAATGAAACTGTAAAGCACGTATAGGCTAAAAGATTCTTAAATCCAACCATTTCGTTATACTTTTGGAGTGATTTACGGGTCTATATGAACTCTTTAATAAATATTCGTATATAAAACATATAATAGTACATCCCATATTATAATAAAATTTTATATATTTACATTTCTGAGAAAAGAGGAAGTCACCGGAATTTTTTCAGAAAAAAAATTTTTTTTTTACTGGCTTAATAAATACTGTCAACTTGCTGAAGTAGCGAGAGAAGGTTTATTGCCTAAAAAGAATTTTGTGCTTGAAACTTCGAGGTTTTTCCCAAGTGATCCAAAACGATAATATCAAATGAATACTGGGAGCTAGCAATCTAATATCTTATCCACTAACAGATGTTAAAAAAAGTGTTAATATTGTTTTAAATAATTTCCAAACAAATAAATGTTAAATATCATAACCAAGACGACTTTTGAGTAAATATTGGGTTCAGACCGACTCGAAAGGAATTAGGGTTTCCGCCAAAAAATTAAAAGTATATATTAAAGGTTCTGGTGTTGGTTATAGATTTTTTTACCTTTTTGCTGTAATTTTGCAACACGTAATTTCTGAATTGTGAGACCTTGTGTTCGACAAACGGAGTATTACATAAACCGGACCTTCTATCTTTCCTTCTTCGAGGAAAAAAATGAAAACAAATATTTAAATATGGAGCATGTATAGACTAGAGATTACTGATAAAAATTACTGAAAAAATTATGATAACCATGTCTTTATACTATTCTAAAACTATAAATTTTTTGTCGAAATGCAATCTATTATTATTATTATTATAATTTTAGACTAATGAAATAAATTCTTAGACTAAAAAAAAGACATTGAGCACTAACAACACAGGCTATCGTCTCTGAAATGCAATCTAAACTTGAACAATTTTCATTTTTTTCATTGAAATTTTCAGAATAATTTTTCGGGAAAGACTCTAAGTTAATTTAAGGTCTGTTTATCAAAAAAGGTTGGCTGTTTTGAGCGAAAGTTTAATTATTTCATTCAAATAAGCGCCCTTCGAACAAAAATGAATATTCTTTAAAAATCAATATTCTTATGAAGGGAGGTTTGGAAATGCTTGCGATACTCCGCATATACATATACATTTTGTGTTATCACATAAGCTGTTAGGTTTGTGTAGAGCAATATATTTCGACATGTTTTTCATATTTTTCATTTTCTTTGCGGCGATCAGAAAATGTTACAATTCATTTATTACCTCAAAATAGAACTTTGTTTTATGACTCTTTAAATAAATAAAAAGGCTTGTGAAGAGTGTTATATGACATTATTCTTTGTTTTACCCAAAAATACATTTAATATTATTATATAATACATTTTATCATCTTCGTCACGTCTCTTTAAAAAAGATGAAAATAGATCATTGCGGCATGAGCGCATTTTGTACGCTGGCAAGAAGTAGTATATCGAATTTAATGTAAAGATGCGCGAAAGATTATTTATGTGTGGGTTGTTAAAGCTAATTGTGAAATTATGGAATTTAATGAAGGGGTATTTAAAAGTGCTTTTTTCGAGTAAAATGTGGAAGATAGAAAATGTCTAATAATATAATGTATAAATATATAATATATAAAAATATATAAAAATAAACATAAATAAAATTACACGGCTGTTATACATAGAACAAACCGTTTTTTTATGATACATTTTTTATGATGCATATATCTATTCATTTAACATTTTCGACAAATTTAAAACGACCTGCATCGAAATAGAAGCAAAGATTGAAGTTAATGCAACTTAATCTCATGTCAATTCTTTTTCAAACAAAAGCATGCAAATAATAAACAGAACTTTTATTTCATTTACTTATTTATTTATATACTTTCTTTTTTTAAGCTTTTATTAAAATCAACTTATTTGTACAATTTGAACTTAATTCGTGCTTTGAAAATTCCTTCAAAGCATAAATAATGTAAATAAAATTTTTTAAGCAATTTTACATAAATAGAGGAGTCGTGTGCTATCCAAATATTTTGAATTGTATTCATCACATCTGCCTACCTGGTCGGGTATTGTTGGAAGTCTATGAAATAAAGTTCTTCTAAAAGTCTGCCTGTTATTTGGTGAGTTTCTAATAAACACAACAGACATTTGATTTTAATAATAAACAAGGTTCGTACAAGTACTTATTAATACAATATAGTGTATGTATCAACATGCCGACTATTTAATAGAAATACCGGCATATATTACAGTTGAATGCAGTGAAGTATCGAAAAAAGTATTGCCACACTCTTATTTATAATAAAGTCAACAGCAAAATTATTAACTAGCCTGATATAGCATTAACGTAGATATACATTAAATTGAAGCTTATTAATGTGTGTACCGTTGAAAAAAAAATATTTTTGGTGGACTGCTGAGCTTAAACGAAATCGTAAGAGACACGGCGATATTGAGCACAGTGTGCGACCAACCTAAAGCATCAAAAACGCAAACAGATTTCGGAAAATCTGAAAATCCTAAAAAGCAACGTGTGCGTTATCATGCGTGGAAAATTGTGTATAAAAAACTGTTTTCCAAATAGATTCTGCGTTTACTCACAATGAAGCAAAATTTTCTTGAAATAGAGTTCAAGCTGCTATCCCGGCCCTTCTATTCTCTGCAGCTTAATTCCACTGACGATCTGAACGAAATGAGTAGCTCATTGCAAAAACTAAAATGTGTATTGAGAGCTGAGGGATAAAAACGCATTGAAGAACGTCCGATTACTTATATCACTTCTGAAAGAGCCAGTCAAGTGATCGCGGGTTCAAATTTCAAGTGCGATAGAGTTTTCAAGAAAACTGATAACCTTGGAT